GCACTCGGTTGCGATCAAAAGGATAATGCGATATCTCGCGGGCACGTTGAACGTAGGTCTTTGGTATCCCAAAGGTTCGACATGTCATCTTGTTGGCTATTCCGACTCGGATTTTGCAGGTTGCAAACTCGATAGGAAAAGTACCAGCGGTACTTGCCACTTATTCGGTCATTCGTTAATCTCGTGGTTTAGTAAGAAATAGGTTAGTGTTGCACTTTCCACCACCGAAGCGGAATATGTCGCTGCGGGAAGTTGTTGTGCCCAAATTCTTTGGCTAAAACAACAACTAGTGGATTTCGGCCTTATACTTGATCACATCCCAATTAGGTGTGACAATATGAGCGCCATTAGTCTATCGAAGAACCTCGTTCTTCACTCCAGGACTAAACACATAGAAATTAGGCATCACTTCATACGAGATTACGTCCAAAAGGGAGATGTCACAATTGAGTTTGTTGAAACGAAACATCAATTGGCCGACATTTTCACGAAACCCCTTAGTAGGGAGAGTTTCTTTCACATTCGGAATGAACTTGGCATTTTTGATATCTCTATGAAGTAACTTATTCTTTTTATTGATGGTACTAATTTGAGCGTCGGAGGCGCAATAATTTTTTTTTTCAGGGCTTTTATTGTAGGTATCTCTTCCCTTGGTATTCAACCTAATTGGACTTGATATTTTTTTCTCTCAAACAAATTTTAATCGATTATTCCTCAAAGAAAAATCGATTAGTCGCCTCCGTCTTTCTTAATCGATTAATCGTTTCTTTTTAATCGATTAAAATGCAAAACGTCTTTAGCGCTGATTCACCTTTTAATCGATTAATTTTGTTCAATTAATTGATTAGACTCATCTGTTCCTATTAATCGATTAACCTTCTCTGATTAATCGATTAATATCTTGAAAAGAGACGTTTTGGCTCTGCTTCTTCTAATCGATTAATATGCTTCATTTAATCGATTTTGCCTCAGCTGTGTTCCTTAATCGATTAAATACTTTATTTTAATCGATTAATATTCGATTTTCACCCTATATCCAGCGCAGGCTTCGTCTTCTTCGCCATTCTCTCTTGAAGGATCAGAAACCCTAAAGAGATGAATCATCCAATTCAACATATAGTGCCTCTATATATAGGCTTACAAGGGGGAAAAGCAAAGGTCTAATTTAAGGGGATAATCAATAGACATGGAGAACATCAAAAGACATTTGTACATAACAAAGTCATATTTGATACATTTTTATGTTTTACTCATAAAAAGAGATGATCACTTAATTGGGAATCCGACGCAGCAGCAGCTCAGCATCCTGTGTCTTCTCTTCCTCTTCACAATTATAAAAGGGAAACTCCATTATTCTCATTTCTTCACCAATCTTTCTAAAATTATTGTCATAATGTTCCTGAGAGTGAGTAGAGCATTCTGCATTATTAGTTAGTTGCCGCCGAGGTCGCCGGAGCAAGCCGTCGTGTTCGCCAAATGTTTCGCCGAAAAATTCTCAAAACCTCCATTTAAGCTCAAGGTAAGCCCGTAGATATATCTAATGACTAGAATGTTCATATAGGCCGTTTTTACGTTCATAATTTTGTTGGACATGAGTTCAAACCCCTTTATTATTTTTCTGGAATATTTTTGTTTTGATAAATGACAAACAGGATGATGAAATTCAAACGATGATCGAAAATTTACTTTTCGTATCGAGAAAAGAAAAGAGGCGTATCAAGAAAGTTACGGGATAAAAATCAACGGTCCCCCAACGCAGTTTTTTTGAAGTGATGTGAAGACTCCGAAGACTTTTTAATTTTTATTGAGTCTAGGATTCTTGTAAGGATGACAATATCTTTTGCACAAAACAATTTAATTTGTGAGGGATAAAAATTATTTTTGAGTCAGTTGAAAAATCACTTTTTCTCTGTCTAAAATATTTTAGGGAGTCAGTTTCAAAATAAGTGTGTCAAAATTTCTTTAAAACATTTTTAAAGTTACAAAATTTTCTTTGGTGAGAAAAATATACCTTAAATATTTTTCGTGTACATCATTTGACACACAAAATAATTTTTGGACTCTTTTTTTTTCTTTCTCCCCTACTCAAATTAATTGAGTAGGAGCGTCCGTTGTCCTTTGANCAAGGATTGCTTCGGTTCATTCATTTGACGTATGAATTTTTCTGTCCAAATCTTATACGTCAATTTTATGCAAATCTTCGTACCACTAAGGGAGGTTCGCCATCTCTCATTTCCTATGTTGACGGCAAAACCGTTTTCATTGACGGTGCCGGTTTGACTTCTTTGTTTGGTCTTCGTCGCGGTGAAATTACCGAAAACTTGGATGAAACATTCCAAGATGAGGCAATTTGGCGACAACTCGGGTTGGATCATCGTGACCTCAAGTTTAGAAACTCTAGCAACCCAAGTGTCGTTAATCTCACTTTAATTCAACGCGTCCAACAATACATTTTCTCATATGTTTTGTTGCCCCATGATTCGAACCATGGCGTCGTCAACAAGGACGATATTCGTTTGTTTCACGTCCTGTTGAACGATGTCAAATTTGATTGGGTTCACTTCTTTATCGTTGCCCTTAGCGATGGCACTCATTTTTCCCATCTCTGGTTTGCCATCCCCATTATGCATATCCTTGCACATTGCAAAATAGACTTTACTCGGGACACTCAGGTGCCGGTTAAGAAGACGTGTTTCATCACTGAAGCCAAGTTTTCCCGGATCATGTATCGAGAGGAGGGCGATGTTGCACCAAATCTGGACTTGGTCATCGCCGAAGGAGAAGAAGAAAGCCAAAACGAGAATCAAGCTGAGTCATCTCAAGCCGGAGGTAGTCGAGCCACGGAGCGCGTCACTCGTCAGCGGAGGACTCGTCCGAGAGAAGAAGCACCGGAACCTTCTTGGGTGAAGAAGATCTTCGATACTCTCACGTGCATCCGAGATGACGTTCGCCAGCTCAACGAGAGGATGACTCGTCTTGAGCAATCTCGCTCTTATCGTGGCCCGCGTCACAGCTTTGGCGGAGGAGCTCGTCCGGCAAACTCTCTTTGATTGTTATTTTCTCTTGACTGATTATGATACATTGTTATTTATTTTCTCTAGTTGATATTAATTGCTTATGTATTAATATCATTGTTAGTTTGGCAATATTGTTCTTGTTTAGAACATATTGTCCCTTTGTGGCATTTTACAAACTCTCTTTTAAAGAAAACTCTTACAATTCTTTCCTTCAAAATCCCGGCATCAATTAAGGGGGAAGGTTGTCGGTTGATAATGCCAAAAGGGGGAAGGAAGGATCGTTGAGAAAATTTTTTTTTTCCGCTTATTACTCCGATTATTTTTGCTGCACTTCTCTAACCTTGCAGGGGGAATCATTTAAGGGAAGTATTCTTTTCTTTGCTTTTTCTCAACTATGTTTGTCATTATCAAAAAGGGGGAAATTGTTGGACATGAGTTCAAACCCCTTTATTATTTTCTGGAATATTTTTGTTTTGATAAATGACAAACAGGATGATGAAATTCAAACGATGATCGAAAATTTACTTTTCGTACCAAGAAAAGAAAAGAGGCGTATCAAGAATGTTACGGGATAAAAATCGACGCTCCCCCCACGCAGTTTTTTGAAGTGATGAGAAGACTCCGAAGACTTTTTAATTTTTTTTATTGAGTCTAGGATTCTTGTAAGGATGACAATATCTTTTGCACAAAACAATTTAATTTCTGAGGGATAAAAATTATTTTAAGAGTCAGTTGAAAAATCACTTTTTCTCTGTCTAAAATATTTTAGTAAGTCAGTTTCAAATAAGTGTGTCAAAATTTCTTTAAAACATTTTTTTAAAGTTACACAATTTTCTTTGGTGATAAAAACATACTTTAAATATTTTTCGTATACATCGTTTGACACACAAAATAATTTTTGGACTCGCTTTTTCTCCCCTATTCAAATTCATTGAATAAGGAGATTATTTGTTTGAGGAGCGCTTCTTTATTCTCGCTGTCTCAAACAAGGAATTAGAAGCCAAAGGGCTTCCAATCGCTCTTGGCTTGGGCCCTTTGTGTTTGCGCATTATTTTCATTTTAATCGATTATATCCTTTAAAATAATCGATTAGATCCAGCGCAATT